CCCTTTATTAAACATAAAGAAAAATCCTTTATTATATAAAGAAATAATAGTTCGTTTTACAGTATTTCTTGGCACTCTTTTAGCACAAGGATTTAAAGCTTTTTGACAATAATTATTAAAATCTACTTTTTCACCAAAACTAAAAGCTAATTGTTCTATAGAAATCATTTCTGCTAATTCTTCTTTTTGTATTTTTTCAGAATATTAAAATAAAAAAATGTTAGAAGATGCGTACATGGAAATTTGTGTTTGAGACCGATCAACTTCTATTTTTGTTGGATGTTTTGTCTCCAAATGCTTCCAAAATGATCCATAGCTGCCCGCTTGTTTAAATCATTGCTATAGATTTTCCATAATTAATGCAAAATTACATCGTACATCGTTCTCACCTTTGAATTTTTTTTCAGCTGAAACATGAATGGACGAATATGTCGGCCGAAACTTTTGTCTTGCTCTTCCAAACAAAATTTGTGCTCACCCCTTACTCATTGGCTCTTTGCTTCTTCTCTTCCTCTTCTTGTAATTGCTCCCATAAATCAGATTCTTGAGTTGGAATTTCCAAATCTTCACTATTTGCATATTCCTCAAAACTTATATATTTGTTGGCGATGAAATCATAGATGGTGGTTTGAGGATAGAATGAATATGTGTTTCTCCAATCTTATCCCTTGCCCTTTACCGAATTTGAGTTTCCATCCAGCTTGTCATTAATATGATAATTAAGACTATAATTTGCGAAAATTGAATAATTTAAAAAAAAAATTAGAGAGTAAATAATAACCTTAATCAGAGAGATGTTAGAGTAGAGCGCAATGAATGATATAGAGTAGCAGTGTCAGTTATTATATGCTAAAGATGAGTAAGCTTCAAGAGAGAGTAGAGATCTTTCTTTTGGTGGATGAATTTGTAAAATGAACATGAGGAATTATTAAATAAATCCAAAAAAATCTATTTTTTTCCAAAAATACCCTTGAAACTAGACCCTGTTACTGATAGCCGATTGTTATGCGCATGTTGGAGAGGGTAATTAAGAAAGTTTCACAACAAAATAAAAAAAAAAAACACAAATCTGACAGTCATTATAAATGGCTAGAACCCGGCGCGTTCGAACCGACTGGTTCTAACCAGGGCTGGAGACACCGGCGGTTCCAATCCGGTTTCTGACCTTCCGTAACCGGCTGGAGAACCGGCGGTTCCAATCCGGTTCTGACCGGTTTTGTGGAACTGCCGGTTTCGGTTCCAGAAATCTGGTACCGGAACTGAACCGAAAATCTCCGGTTTCGATTCTCATCGGTTCCGGTTACGGTTCGGGGCCAGTTCCAACCGACGGTTCTGGTTCCCGAAACCGTAATATGGCCACCCTTAGTTCTACCACCAATAGTTACAAGTTACCAGAAAGTAACCCATTAATTTGTGTTTTTTTAACCTATGTTCCACTAAATTTAGCCATGCAATAATATATGTCAGTACAAATTACCAAAATTTCTCATGAATTTTTTTTAAGCAATGCCTACCTAATTTAACCATGCAACAAGATGCTTAAGAAAGTTGAAGAAATCCTTACTCTAGAATAATAAATAAAGATATTATTTTTTTTATTTTTAATTTATTTTTTGTTTTTTGCGATAAGAAAGTGGGAATGGAATGGGTCCAAATAATTGAACATGGGGGCAAAATTATATGTATTGATATTAATTCAGATGAGACATGATAGTTCGTCAATGAGGATGGGATATTTCATTTACTTCATCTCAGAAAAAGAAAAGAAACTTGGCCCTATCCACAAAATTGAAAACTTTGAGTAAAAAAAAAAAAAAAAAAAAGCATAATTTGAAAAGACCAGTTGGGGAATCTATTCATCAACTAGTGCGAAGCCACTGGAAATCACTGTAACACTACGCTGTTAAAATGTTTTTTTTTTTTCTTTCTTCCCCAATTGGCATTTCCTGTCATCTAATATCCAATATTAAAATATGTTATTAGATAAAAAAAAAAAAAAAAAGCATAATTGAAAAGACCAGTTGGGAATCTATCATCAACTAGTGGAGCCACTGGAAATTTCACTGTTACACTACGCTTGTAATGTTTCTCTCCATTGCATTTCCTTGTCATCTAATATAACCAATATTAAATTATGTTATTACATAAATGGAAAATTATTTTTGGCATTTAATTTTATATTTTTTACCTTTCAGTGTTTAGGTTGTTTTTTTTTTTTATGTTTAATCATTTAAAAAATTATATTCAAGATATATTTTTATTTTATAATTTATTAATATAAAATTATTCCTTATAAATAAATATTTTACAGTAAAAAAAATTGATGAACTCTATTATTATTATTATTATTATTTCAATGGCTTTATTGGTAAAAGAAAAGGAAAGATATCACTTCAAAAATATTTGTGGCAGGGAGTGGAAGAGGGACAATGATAATGGTTCAATTGTCCTTCAAGAAGTGCACTTCTTTAATGGCCCATCCTTTCGCATGATTGAAACATTGCCCCTTAAAGCCTAAAGGGGCAATTATCAATTTGTGTCACACGTGCCATTATGCTTATTCAATAAATTAAGGTGATATTCATTAAATATCTTGTAATATTTAAATTTTCAATTAATTAATTTATTTAAAAATTTTAATAAAAGCAAATTAAAATTTTTTATTATAAGTATTTAAATTTAAATTTTATATTATTTATAAAAATTATTAAATTATTAGCTAAGTTTTTTTTTTTTTGAAAGGAATTATTTGCAAAGTTAATTATTAAATTTTATGATCACTCAAGTATGGTCGAAGCATTGAATTCTGAATACTGACATATCGGATTAGTGTTTGACACGCTCCACTTTAGGTGCGCATAAAGCAAGATGGAGCTGAATAATGGGCCGGCCCAAATATTTTTATGGTCCACTTATGCTCGTTTGTTTTTCTCCAATTAAGGGTATTGTTAATTACGGTTGTTCATGAATTTTCCAATTGAAATCCAATCAAATGAAGCTGAAAATATAAGCATTAATAAATAAATTATGTTCATAATATTTTTTCTTATTATATTACACAAATTGAAGTATTTAATTATTTAAAATTAATCTTAAACTTTAAGCAATAATTATATTAATTACGACATATAATTTATCTAAAAAAACTTTTGTACAATTATTTATCACCTTAAATTTGCACCGAAATAATTTAAAATATTAAAACTTGTAGTAAAAAAGAACAAAATAATAATTTTTACTTCTAATAATAGGATAATTTTATTAGTTGAAAATATTAAAAATTATTATTTTAATTTTTTACTTTTATAGAAATCAGAAAATCAAATTCAAGCATTAAAAAGTATTAAATGGAGATGGCCATAAAAAATCAAATTCTTTTAATCTGTTGCCAAATTGTTGATCAAATCAAATCGAATTTAATATATTCATATATTTAATAAGTTTGAATGTCTTTTATAATTTGATTTATTTCAAATTCTCCGTAAACCGTGGTTATAAATTTGATTCGACTAAAAATAAATCGAATCATGATAAGTGTAACTAATATACTATTTGTGATATTTTGTGTCGGGGGTTGTAGCTCGAGTTTGAAAGTTGGTGTTCCAAAAACACATCCACCATTTAAATAAAAACATTCACAAGTTTCAACATTTGACTCTCCAGAAGGAGAGAAAAATGGATTGAATTGATCTTGTTTAAATAATTTTTCAGTGATGGAATTTTAAATTTCCATCTTTATATTTTTTTTGTTGATTTTAACTTAATAATAGTAAATTCATGAATTGTAATATATAATTTTCTCAATAGAAAAATATTTTTCCATATTAATTATAATCATAAAAAAAAGAAAATTGTTCCTAAAAGTTGTACAGAAAATCCTATAAAATAAAAGATTTGTGAGAAATGAGGGCCTAGCTTAGCTAAATTTTGTTTTCATCCTCTTGGCATTATACTTGCATCACTTTCTCTAACAAGTAACAGATATTTTGCGGCAAAGGCCATTCCATTTCCATGGATAATATTTCTTCCTCCCTTCCCTTCTTTATACTAACTTTTCTTTTCCTTTCTTTTCTTTTCTTTTCTTTTCTTTTTTATGGCAGAAGACTGATCTGTATCAACTCACAAATCTATTCTAAGAAAAAAGCAACTATTTGCAAAGGTTTCATAATTGTTTGAAAATATTTAAGTTTTCGAGAAGGGCTTCCTTTGTTGCTTTTGGCAGTCAAAATTGATTCTGGTTAACCATTTTCAATTCACTGAATATATATATAATTTTAACTTTTAAATAAAGAACATTAGATGACAGGTTAATCCAAGAATGTCTAAGATTACTGTCTATCTAGTACAAAGAAGGATCGCAGAAAGAAACACATGCAATCAGGAGGGAAGTGCTAATTTATAATTAAGACACAAAACCCATATATATGCAAAATAAATTAAACTTCTTGATTTTGTTGAAATGATTTTTTATTCTTTAGATTTTCACTTGCCTTTCAGCTGATTCATTGGGTACTTTACAAACTCCAAAAGGTCAAGATTGTAGTGCTTAAAATCCTTGTTTAAGGTTTGGGTACCCAATCCTCAAAGTTAACCTAACAAGACATTCAAAATTTGGACTCACAAATTGTCTTCTACCAAGCAACTAGAATTTTTTTTTTTTTTTTTTCCTTCTTCAACCTTCATTTATATATATAAATCATTGAATCCGGAAATCCCTCCAAATGGCAGCAACCCAATAAGTCTTCTTCATCTTTCACCGTCCTCCTCCTTGTCTCTTGTGTTAACTGTATACAAAAAGAAAGAGTCAAAAATCCATGCAAAATAATCTAATAATTTCTTGGTAATCAAAGAAATAATGAATGTATTTATATTTATCCCAATAAAACAATCCATTAAAGTAATAATCTAAAAACTTAATCCTAATTAACAAATTAAAAACTTAATAATAAATAACGATTCTTGAACAGAAACCAACTCAGTACTAGCTCAGCTAGCTAGGTTCTATGGATCTTATACCTTTCCCTTCTCTAAAAATTTCTTCTAGTATTTTGCCAACTGGGTCTCTGTTAGAATCACTAATTCATATATCTAATGAAATTACTTCAATGGAGAAGCTTCCTTTTATCCAGGTTAGAAACATTTCAAGAATGATAAGAAGAATTAAGCTTCTTTCTTCTTTATTTGAAGATTTACAAGAAACAAATAATCCTCTCCCTCCATCCTGTATTCTATGTCTAACTGAGCTTTTTTCGGTTATTCGAAAAGTCAAGTTCTTGATTCAAGAATGTAAAGATGGTAGCTGTGTTTGGGGTTTGATAAGAACTGAGTTTTTATCAAATCAGTTTAATGTGTTAGTGAAAGAAATGGGAAGAGCACTTGATATTCTACCTTTAAGCTTGCTTAGTTTAATGGCAGATACTAAAGAACAAGTTGAGTTACTTCATAAGCAAGCAAAAAGAGTAGATTTGATACTTGACCCTAAAGAAGTTCAAAGAAAAGAAGAGGTTTTACAAATAATGGCTTGGAATAATGACAAGAACAGAAAAAATAAAGGGTTTCTTGATTTTGACAGAGTTAAACAAGTTTTAAGTAGTATTGGATTGACAAGTTCTTTGGATTTGGACGAAGAAATCTTGAAGCTTGAAGCAGAAGCAAAGAATCAGGCAGGCACAGGAGGACTAATTGTGATATCCAATATAAACAATCTTATATCACTTCTTAGATATTCCAAGTCCATGATCTTTTGCAACAAAGAGATAAATGAGAAGATACAAGAAGAGTCTGCGAATAGAAATGTAGACTTTTCTTCTTCTTCTTCTTCTTCTTCTCATGCCATACTACCAAATATTCCTGATGAATTCCGGTGTCCGATTTCTCTTGACTTAATGAAAGATCCTGTGATTGTAGCATCAGGGCATACTTATGACCGGAATTCTATTGCTCAATGGATCAATGCAGGGCATCATACTTGTCCGAACAGTGGGCAAAGACTAATTCATATGGCTCTGGTACCAAATTATGCATTGAAGAGCCTTGTCCATCAATGGTGCCAAGATAATAATATTCCATTAGTAGATGATTACTCTTCTTCATCTTCCCCAGAATTGGAGAGAAGCAGCAACGACAAGAAGAAGTTAAGCGAAAAAGCTATCGATCACATTTCTGCAACAAAAGCTGCTTCAGATGCTGTCAAAATGACTGCAGAATTTTTGGTGGGTAAACTTGCAATGGGGTCCCTGGAAATTCAGAGGCAAGCAGCTTATGAACTCAGGTGGTATTTCATAATGTAAAATTTTCAGTGTTTTTGTTCTAATTTATAAATGTTCCATAACACTTATTTTGCTAGAATTTTTCAAAACTTCTAGCAGTTATATTATTCAGCTTTCAGAATACAGTTTCTAACTTAAATTCTACACTGAAAACAAATTTGCAGTATACAAATTTAGAAATCATATCATCCAGTGCTTAAAGTTCAGTTTCCAAAATTTTCAGCAATTAATTTTCAGTTTTATTAAATGTGGTCTCAGGTTATTAGCCAAAACTGGCATGGACAATAGAAGGATAATTGCAGAGGCAGGAGCCATACCATTTCTAGTGACACTACTAAGTTCTAGTGATCCCAGAATTCAAGAAAACGCAGTTACTGCCTTACTTAACCTTTCTATATATGACAACAACAAGACTCTAATAATGGCAGCAGGTGCAATAGACAACATAGTAAATGTTCTTGAATCAGGCAAAACTATGGAGGCAAGGGAAAATGCAGCAGCAGCAATCTTTAGCCTATCAATGATAAATGACTGTAAAGTAACAATCGGGGCTCGTCCCCGAGCCATTCCTGCCTTGGTTAGCTTACTAAGAGAAGGCACAACAGCAGGAAAAAGGGATGCTGCAAGTGCATTATTCAATCTTGCAGTTTATAATGCTAATAAGGCAAGTGTTGTAATTTCAGGAGCAATTCCTTTGCTAATTGAACTATTAATGGATGATAAGGCAGGCGTAACGGATGATGTCTTAGCTGTTCTGTCTTTACTATTAGGTTGTTCTCAAGGGTTGAAGGAGATAAGGGAAAGTAGAGTTTTGGTTCCTCTCCTGATAGATCTTTTGAGATTTGGGTCGGCGAAAGGGAAGGAGAATTCTATAACAATTTTGTTAGGATTGTGCAGAGATGGAGGAGAAGAAGTTGCCAATCGCCTTTTGATTAATCCACGGAGTATTCCTTCGCTTCAGAGTTTATCTGCTGATGGATCTTTGAAAGCTAGAAGAAAAGCTGATGCATTGCTTAGATTACTCAGTAGGTTCTGCTCTCAAACTCATAATCCTGTTGGATAACAGAAGACAGCAGAAAAAACCTGAACCAAGTGCACATTATGATCATATAAATTCTTATACCTTGTGTTCATTTGTTGATTTGTAGTCGATCTCAAATTTTATAGTTTGGTTTATGGAATTTTTGGCATTGTATATGGCATCCTATTGGATTGGGATGAATAAAATGTTTGCAAGAGCTTTTGTTCGTGTAAATTCAATTTTGTATTTAAATGTTGCTAGTCCCTATTTCTTACATGATAATAAAGTAATTTTTTTTGGATATTTTTTTTCCAATTAGTATGGTATTTTTTAGTTTGGGATAAGCCCGTAAACAAGTCAAGCCGAGCCAAGATGAGCCAAGATGAGCCAAGCTTTAGTGAGCTCGAGCACAGCTCGACAATAATAAACAAGCCGAGTTCGAACTTGAAATCTATTGAACTAAAATGACGTTTTAATATAAATTTTAATTGATTTTAGCTTATTAAACTAGCTCGTGAGTTCGACTCTGCTCAACAACGCTAGCTCGTGAGCTCAGCTCAATATAGAATAGAAGAGGCCTACCCTATGAAGTGTAATTTTCTGAGCCATTCACTAAAACTGCATAGGAGCTGGCTCATGAGCCATCTTGTGAGCTAATGACTTATTTCGAGCTCGAGCGAGCTTTATCGAGCACTTCCCGAACGACTTGTCTTATTTACGGTCCTAATCCAGGACATAAAATATCCATAAATATTTAATAATATTAACTATTAAAATAAAATCGAAGCTAAATGACTTTGCTGATGCAAACTAAATTGAGTAATAATAAAAAAGAAATTTAAAAAAATGCATAAATTTTATTGCTTTAATTCCTTACATTATTCAAATATACAATGGATTTACTACGATAACTCAACACAAAAAAATACAAATCACAACAGCTAGCCGGAACCCTACCGGCTTTATAATGCTCCGACTGAAAAAAAAAAAAAAAAAAAAAAATTGTTATGCTTTAAATTCCTACATTATTCAAATATACAATGGATTTACTACCGATAACTCAAAACACAAAAAAATACAATCACAACAGCTAGCCGGAACCCCTACCGGCTTTATAATGCTCCGGATCTGAAAAAAAAAAAAAAAAAAAAAAAAAAAAAAAAAAAAAAAAAAGATCCTAGACTTGGATGGTTTAACTTATGTTAGAACCAATCATACGGCAAAGGGCGAGTTCCTGGTTTAACTTACGTTACAACCGATCATACATTATTAAGATAAAGCTCGAACTCCAATTTGTGAACCATGATTCACATATTAATATTAGAGAAGGTTAAATATTTTAAAGTTCCACCAATTCCAGCTGAATGTTTGTGCCCTTTAACTTGTAGTTCCAGAACCAGCTTCCACTGCCCATCATGCTTGGTTCTATGCGGTTGAGCTGGACTTCCAAGCCTGTGGAATAATCAAAGGTGATAATGAGTTGATTTTGAGGTTTCATTTCGTTATGAAGGATGCATTAATGGGTTATAATGACAAATAGAGGCGTGAATAAGCCGAGCCGGCTTGAGAGCTATTTGAGCTCGGCTCTAAAAAAGTCGGCTCGAGCCTAATGCCGTTCAGCTCAAAAACTCTTTGAGCCTTATCGAGGTTAAAATTTTTCAAGTTGAACTTGAGCCTCGAGCCTCGAGCTTTAGCTTTCATTGAGTCCGCCTGGCAGGTTTGAGCTCGGCTCGGCTTGTTTACACCCCTGAGGTATCAGAAATTCCCTCTTTTTTCCATACCTCTTGCATTACAAGATATATATGCACTCCACTGCCACTACTAATCCAATGGCTGCTTACCATTTCTTTTTAAATATTAGAGTTGGTGTTTCAGTAGAAACTAGAAATAAGTAAAAAAAAAACCACAGTAAATAAACTCCTTGAAGAAAAATGCACATTTCGTTGCATTTTGATCACCACTCTCAACAACAAGCATTATAAAGTTGTATTTTTCAATTACCAACTTTCTAAGATATGTACAGCCACCTTCACTTCGTGATTTAGTGCTTAAGACCATCTATTTGATCTAGGATTTTCTACACTGTAAACTTCCCTTGCCTCTTGTGAGTGTGGGTGCACATTGGGCGGCTCAAATGCTGGAAACACTATGTACTAATGTGAAAGGTATTATGATACCAAAGAGTATGTACCTGAATTTCCTGATTTGACCTGCATTTTGTAGCCATCTGGAACTTCAAATACATGATTACCCTACAAACCAAAAAAAAAAAAAAAAAAAAATACAAACCAAAAAAAAAAAAAAAAAAAAGGTGGAGCCACGTAAGTTCTTTAGTACAAACACTAGCAAGAGATAAATCTAGCAAGCAAAGAAATTAGCATTTAATAAACCATTCAACTCAGTCAACTGGGTCAATTCATACCCATCAGTTTTTCTTTTCGAAGGTGGCGTTATTTGAAATTAATGGAATGCCAATTGAGTAATTATTTGATTTCAATAGGAAGAAATTTTATAAAAAAAAAAAAAAAAAAAAAAGGTGGAGCCACGTAAGTTCTTTAGTACAACACTAGCAAGAGATAAATCTATCAAGCAAAGAATTAGCATTTAATAACCAAATTCAACTCAGTCAACTGGGTCAATTCATACCCATCAGTTTTTCTTTTCGAAGGTGGCTTTTATTTGAAATTAATGGATGCAATTGATTAATTATTGATTTCAATAGAAGAAATTTTATTCAGGATCTCTAACAGTTGGTCCTAATTCTTAGCAAGAAATGATTACTGCCAATCTATATAATTTACTCTCCATATAAGTTGAACAATCAATTCAATCTATGCAGACAAAACAATGTTGTTTTGTTAGTCTAACCTCTAGGGTAACGTTATTGGCCTCAAATTCTGCATTTCCATGTAGAATAACTTTACACGCCTCAAACCGCTGTACTTTGTGTTTCCAGTATACATTTTCTCCAGAACTCCAGTCAATCCCTTCATTAACAACTTTGACATTTTGCAGTCTACATCTTCCACACCTAGACAAATAAACTGATTAAGGACCTACGGATTTGATCATTACCATATTTGAAATTGGATTGCAAACAGTCATTTCATACCTGTGTCCATACTGCAATATTGGCTCACCATTTGCATCAATCCTGGTTGAGCCCATGATATTTGCAGCAATAACAATTAAACTCCCATCAAGCTGCAAAGGAAAACAGATGAGCCTAAGAGCAATAACTAGCATGCCTAAATTTACTGTTGATCAAAATGCTATAACCTCAACATTCCTCCATAAGAACTCTGCAACCTCAACTTGTAGCTCAGAGCCCTCAGAAATGGATCCTTTATGGAACTGGAAAGCAGAAAATTCATAATCAGAGTTCGTTGGCCAACTTTTGGTAAAGGATATCAGCACCAAATTATGATACCTAGTTGAAGAAAGATACTTCATGAAACAAGTATTCAACTGCAAAGAATGCATAACAAAGCTTTTGCATGATGAAAAACTAGTGGCCTAAAAGGCTTCCTGTATGCCTATAATAGATAAGCCCACTAACTGTTGGAGATGGAGCATACACTTAATAACATCATAGAACAAATAAAAACAAAGTAAGGACAGACCTAATTGCAGACAAACTATGGAATATAGCCCTAGCCAAAATAAGCTTACCTTTTGTCTTGTAACATTCCAAAGTGGGCCAAGAGCAGGGTGCAGAAATATTAGAAATGGTGGTCCAGAATCAACATATGCATCATTACCTTTAATCTGCAAAGAATAAAGAGAAACCTTATTATGGAATCACTTCAAAAGGAGATTAATATATATATTGCAAGGCTGTCAGATGAACATATGATAATGATGAACAAGAACATTAGCGATAATGATACAAAGTATGAGGAAACATTGACCTCAATTCAACAGAGACAAGTTTGGGTTCTAATATTGTAGGAGACAGAAGAAACTACCTCTGGAAGTTCAATATCACAATGGGAAAGAAGATCATAAGCATTCCGAAAGATATCTAGGAGTGAACCATCTGGGGTCTGCACATGGATCCAAACTGAAAAAAATTAACACTAGAGGAATAACATTATATCAAGTTGACTAGTATGTCACAATTTTTTAACTTTAAGTTAGTTTCCAAGAGAGTTCCATTACAAGAATTGGGGACACTCACGCAAGTTTAAGCACTAAACATAAGTGGTGCATCAATTGTAAAAAATCCACTCATTCAAATACATGAACCTCAAACCAAATAATGATCATAGAATAATTATCTACTCAGAAAGATAAAAAGCATCAAGATAGACTACCCTAATCTGTAGACAGTTTCTGGGTGTTGAATTCCTTTGATTATGTCTGAAGGCAAGAACAAATAAAAGGTTCTCTAGAAGCACAGTGTCAAGCTATGGTCATAGAATTTTGCGGCAGCAGTAAAAATGAGATCTTTGGAAGTTTTGATGATTTAAGTGGCAGAACATGTATAGAAATATGTGTTGTATTCGGCATTACAAAAGTAGCAGGGATGAGGTGTAGTTTATAGGCGCAATAAGAATATCAGTGTTGAGTTTTCTGGGACAGCTAGGAATTTGAGGTATTAAAGGCTGTTTGGATGGTTAATTGAAGAGGATTCTATTAAAATGAAATTTAAGGGTTTAGAGTGACTATTAATGGTATGAGGTCTACAGCTGATTGAGAGTGAAAAAAAAAAAAGTTAGTTGTTTTTCACTTGCCAGCTTTGTTCTGGACTTAATAATTAGGTTAAGAGGGAGAAAACCAGAAGTAAAAGAATGCTGATAAACAGGGAGATAGAAGACATAGCAGCCAGTCAATATCTAGAATTCAAAAAGAAAAGACATCATCATTTGTTACTTTTATTTGTCCCGTAATAGCATGGATTTTATAATCAGAAAATTATAACCTGGTGCAAAGAATTGTCTGTATGTTTTCTCTTTCTCTTAGCTGATGACGTAACCCTTCTTCGTTCATTATACACAATAAAAGTATCCAGCTTATCTGTAGATGTATTGCCAAGATTTTTATCAACATAATACACGTAACATGAAATGAACATGTTATATTGCAATTTTAGGCAGAGAAGAACTATAATTATACCTTCAACTCCCTGATAAGATCTTGATAAGTAGGTATTCAAAAAATTATCTGCAATATTTTGCATGGTACATTCCAGCCGGCCACCAGAGACACTGCATATTAAAAGATAATTAGTCAGCATAAATGCATCTGTGGAAACAACTAGCGAGTAACATAATTCCAAAGAGAAAGATGAATGACTACACACTATGGATGGTTCCCCTCATCAATAGAATATCTATAGAAACAGTTGAGCCAAATAACACCATCCCCAAAAGAAGGGAGAAAAAAGTTCCACGTCAACGATATATCAAATTACTAAATATGGAAAATCACCTTTAAGTTGGGGAGGCAAAAGAGAAAACCTCAATGTTTATACCTAGGATTGATTATTAATGCAAATTTCCAAATCCTGCAGCATATATGCATTTAAATCAAATGCCTTGCATTATGCCTACCCAGACAATTTCCCTATGTTTTATCCCTGTCCAGAGTGTACTTGTCCTAATTCCAAAGTCAAACTGTTTGCACTTAAAGCAAAAAATTCAAAGTATAATTATTTAGTTTATACATAAAAAATTATCTGCTTGTCATAAAGGTGCATATTTTACCCTTGCAAGAGATACTGATTATGCAGAATATCTTCAATAATATATGATTTATTCAAAAGGATAGATGAACTTGTGGATATAACAACTTTAGGCGCATCCATGAAAGGAAGGACATAGAAATAGCAAAAAGCCTGTCACTAAGAAGAACATATACCTATGACAGTTCCCGAAATGGTCCTCGTATGTAATTTCCTTCTTTGTATTGATTACCATGCCTGGTAAACTCTTTTCAGTATTGCTTGATGCAATGGTCTCCACAGAGGGTAGATCCACATAGAGAATGTTTGTATTGGCAGGGAATTCCACCTGCAAACTTAACAGGAAAAACAAAAGTGAAGTTACACATTTCTGAAACTCTTAGCTTAAAATGCATTAACAAAGAAGCAGAAAGCATGATGTGCCAAGTGGATAGATGATAAAGACATCATAATTTCATTGATGATACACCATCAAAAATAGCACAGCCCAGTAATATAGATACTACCATGCTAAAGAGGATGCCTCAACAGTTACCATATAGGTCCTATACCAGCATCTACAAACTTCTGGAAAGGGGAAATATAATCAAGTTTCATTCAAGTACTCCTCACAATAGAGGAACATTGCAAATTATGGGATTTTAAATAGTCATTAAAATTGTGCGCCTAAAGATATTATCCGTAGTTTAAAGCATAAAGCATGTCAGAATAAAACGTTTACGTAACCAAATCAATGCTTACCTGTTAGAGGAGTGAGGTGCACTTGTGATTCCAAACTTATCAAACTCTGTGTACTCAATGCATGACAAACCATAAGCCCACTTCCCATCAAGAGTCTTCTTCTCCAAAAGGACATTTATACCTTCTGTAGCCCCCAAATTACGCTTACAAGATGCAAAGCCAAGTTTCTGTTACATGCACAATATGTAATGACTAAGATAAGCTGAAAAAGATTTAGCCCTAAACAATATCGACAAGAGACACAACTACTAATCTGCATTTAATTTCAGTTTCTAAAGACAACTTATATAAGCATCTCCACAAAATAACATATTTAACTTGGTCTTTCTAATTCTAGCACCTCAATCAGAGAGAACATTATAAGGCAGTATGCAGACAAACGGAGTTAAGTATAGGGCATATATAGAAACCTTATGATGTCAGGGGCATCAACCAGTAATGGATCGCTTAATTTAAAATCACCTATGTCAGTATCTGTATATACTATGTTATGAGTGCCATTGCACATAGAGCAAGAGAACTTGACACACGCAAACATAGTTGAGACCCCACCTTTCCATGGCGTAAACCAATCCCCGCCAATGCCAAAAGGGTCAAGTCTGTAGCAGCCACAACATTGCTGCAGTTTCACCAGTTCAATATAAAAATGAAAATTTGATGGTAACAATCAAAAACATAGTATATTTCAATATGCTAGAAAAGAGCTAACCTGACTTGTCGAACGGTTGCACCCTTTCTTCCATGACCATAAAGCCACTCAAAGATGCCTTTATCATATGCAAGTTTCCAAATAACACCATGTCCACCAGGCTTGGAAACAGGTGTGAAAGGTTTTGTTACCAACCATTGCCCATCTTCCGCACCAACAGCGGGAACAAGAGGCTGGGAATTGACAGAACTTGTTTCAAAATGAAATGCAATAATAATTAACACAGCAAGAAAAAAAAAAAATATAAACCTGCTCAAAAAGTTGGAAACTGGATTGGCCTCTTCCAAACCAGCTGAGTCTTTCACATAGAGAAGTGATATGCTTGTGGTTATTCTTAGCTGAACTTGTCATGATCGCAACAGGGGTGATACATTGTTTTCCATACAACTTGAAGTACAAGAACTCTCGAGCCTATCACAAAATTACATATGTATATCATAAGCGTCTAAACTATAACGCTTGCTTTCCTTAGTTAAACATCAAAGTTCAAAAGCAAATATTTCCACAATTGGAAACAAAGCTCTTATACCTGAAGATCTCTTATAAGGCCTTCCAATAAAGTCCGTCCACAATAAGGAAGCATTGCAGCAGGAAGACATTCACCTGTGTCTGGATCAACCAAACCAAGCCGGTCTGCTGAACCGCCCAGAGGATAAATTTCTCCTAGACCTGGCAAACCCTAAAAGAATAAGATCTTATTATTCTAGAAACACTTAGCAATATTTTTTGCATTGACACAACAATTTTTGGGTGCTAACCTCAATTCCCCACAGAGCTGCTTGAGATGCATATTCTGTATTTTTTGAAAGGTCAATTACATTAGGTGCATGAATTTCCAAAAACTGACATTCCATTGATTCTTGTATGTGCTGGGACCAATTTGTTGCGTGCATCTCAGAAGTTGACTGGGCAAGAAGTTCCAGCACCATTATCTGATATCTGCAGCAAGAATATCATAAATTTTTTAATTTATTAATCTTCCAATATCAACCTTATGATTTCTGAACAGCAAAAATTCAAATAAATGAACGTTACAATCAATTTGAGAAGATGAAAATTAAGACACATGTGAATAATAGTTCAACTGTTCAAGTAACTTTCCTATATTTGAAAAGTCTCTAATGGTAATCCTTTCCTTGTTCTCCACCCAAACAAACTCAAACATAAACCTATAACAACTCCAACAAAACTTTAAAAGCAAAGGAGTGGTTTATAAACTATGACTGCAGTTTTCTTTAGGAAGTCGCATAGCTGTGAGGGCATTCACATGGAACTCGCATAAACTTGAACTCAATCTAGACATTAAGAGTTCCGGCCTTCAATTGATTTCACCATCTTGATCAAGTAATTAAGAGATGAGACTATAGTGTTCTTTCCAATTATAAGAAGGGATTGCTCCACTCGTGACTCAAATCCACCACTTGACTTGAATGATCGAGTTTATTCCAATCCAATTTAGTAGAGATTAAGTTTGATAGCATACCCTATAGATTAGAATATAGGGAATGGGAAGGGAAGGTTGCGATAAAATTAATCCAATGAAAATCCTCTACTTAAACTGGTTGATTAACCAACATCAAACTTCCACATGACTTTAGGCAGGTAACTGACAATATTTCTTTTTTTCCTTTTCCCTTTTTTGAGAATGACTGACAAAATATTTCTCAATAAGACAAAACAAACACATCCCTGTTGATTTGTTGTGCAATCTTTTGCTATTAATCCTCAGGAGTTGAAAATGCTCATTTACAGACATCACACTTTGTTCTTGTCTGCATAAAATAACATAGCTAATCTTGTAATTATCGACACTTGGCAAGTCGGCATAACAGCTAAGAGAATCCCACGATGAGCATGTATTCCCAGCAAGTGTATTCCTGAAAACACTAAAATCCGAAATGCTAACCACAAAAAGGCATCTCCATTTCATTATTACTATCCTATTATCTGACCGTATCCAAAGTTAATCAGATGAGGCTAATATCCTTCCTCAAACAATTCAAACACTATGGCACCAATAACATTCAATCACCAGAAGAAAGGAGAACGAAAAAGATAATATCATGCACAAAAAGAAGAATGAATTAGCTACATTTCAAGCGTAAAAGCTAAAAAAGGTAAGAGATTCACTCACCCAATGATACCCCCAACGCAATCATAGAATTGTTCAATCTCTTCCAAAGTCTTTAACAACTTTCTCAAGTCCGCAATCTCCTCTTCATTAAAAAACGCACCACGACTCATCTGCAAACTATCTTTTCCTCCATGCTCACTCAAATCAAAACTCTCAATCATCTCCACCAAAGCATAAAGCGCGCTCTTCACCGAAGTCCTTGCCGACTCCGCCTCACTCTCCACCAACTCAAACCCGAAGCTAAGCACGTGCTCTTGCCCTGCTGCAACCAAACACTTGAGCAAAAACAACTCGTGCAAGTCCAAATTAAGCAGAGCTACAGCTCTAGAAACTCCATTTCTATGCGAACTAAAAAAATGTTTAACTCGCGAATCAGAATCAAGGAGTAAAAGCTTCTGCTCCAGAGAATTCAAACCGGAGAGCTTGGAGCGTAGAGATTTTAGGCGGGAGATTTCTAGGTGGAAATTGGAGTCAGGAGCTGGCAGCGCGTATTCTAAAGGAACAGTAGTTACACGCGTAACTGGATAGCAAGAGCGCGGAGGTTGAGTGGAAGAGGAAAAGGAAGGGAAAGAGAGTAAAGGAGAAGGTTTTTGGAAATGAAAAGAAAAACAGAGCGTTTTAGAGGTAAAAGAAGAAAGGCAAGTGTTGTTGCTGCTACTGTTATTGTTACATAGAAGAAAGGAGAGACTCTTTGAAGTAGTAGTAGCGTTAGCTTCAGCCATAGCTAAAGCAAGGAAGGAAACTGAATTTCAGTTGGAGACACAGAGAGGTAGAGGAAGAGGGAAATAAAGAGGAGGATAAGAAGAGATGCTTGAAGCATATACCAATCCATAACCACAGTCCAAAAATCACATCTTCCATTGGTATTTATTAGGAAGTTCGGAGTGGATGCCAATGTTACATTGGATGGCTGTCTGCCGTTTTTGTGGAGGAGACTGTGGGTCCTATGTCTCATTGAATATTCCACCGTAGTTCGTTGGATTTTGTTGCGTTTTATTGATGTATTGTTCTAGAATAGAATGGGCTGGACCTTCATTTGGACTAAAGACATATTTTTCAGGGTCAGCCCAATTCTAGTTTACAAGTTTTAGCCTGGGTTGAATCACAGCCTAGCCCAAAAGGTTTAGCCCACATGATTACAAGTAGAAATGATTTTGCAGTCGGTCAGTTCGGTAATCCCGTCCTTGTTGTTACGGTAATGACTAATTAGCATTTAGCACAATTCATAACTATATAATTATTTTTAATAGTTCAAAGAAAAAAAAAAAAAAAATCTCAATCCCAATCTTGACAATAAACTTTAGGTTAGTGATACTGAAATCACTTCCAAATTGTAAGGTTACTAGTATGAATCTTAATCAAAGTCATTTTTTTTTTTTTTTCAATTCCACTTTGCATATATAATTACTACGTGTATGCACACTAAAGCATAGAGTCCAATGGTAAGAACATATACAACCTGACATATGACAATAAATCTAAATTTGAATTTCTCTTTTTCAATTCTTAAAAAAACATTATTACATGCATGTTTCTAATTAATTATGCATTATACTCATAACTTGTATTTACCGTCAATCTTATGCAAATTCCAAACCCATATTTATGCTCTCTTCAAGAAATAACCTTAGTTAGGATTTGTTCAGTTTCCAATTTTATCTCAAAATGCCAGTGCAGCTTCTATTTTTCTGTTTAACCCATTTCGAAGGTTGGACAGAAAATTCAACAATGTAAATTTGAAATGCCTATATTAAACAATGTACTCATTAAAATTTGGAATTGGAATTAAGATAAGGCTATATTTGGTTTGGCGTAATGTAAGATAATTAAAGATGTAATGCAAGATAATTAAAGATGTAATGCAATGAAAAATATAATGTAATGGAATAGAATTAAGATTTCATTACTATGTTTGGCAACGTAACTGAGAAAGTTTATGGAATGTAATCGTTATTCAATTTTTATATTTGTTTGTAAATATGTAATATAATTAGCACGCCATCACTGCCACCACCGCCATAACTACTACTCTACTACCATCACTATCACCAAAACCACTACTCTACCACTACCACCATTACCACGACATCATTATTAATAAAAAAATATATTTGAATCAAAAGTTTTTTATATATCATGCTATTAAAGACTATTTATACATAGAAACTATTTGGACTAGGAAATTAAAAAAAAATTAAGTCTGAAAAAAAATATTATGTAACAAAATAAAAGTTAAAGTCATTGAAAATTATTTTTTTAATACAATTTTATATTTTTTCATTGAATAAATTAAATTATAATACAAAATTATGTATTTTGATCTTTTTAATGATTTTTCATTTCATTCTTCATATTCTTATAACAATACAAAAGAATAATTAATAATGATGTGGTGGTGGTGGTGATGGAATAGTGGTTGAGGTGGTGGTGGATTGGTGGTTGGGGTGGTGGTGATGGTGATGGAGTGGTGGTTGAGAATAATTATGGGTTTTGAGGAATGTAATGAGCTTTACATAAATTTTTTTATGCAATAATATTACATCAATTTAAGTAATGAAAATTACATATATAATATCAATTACATTAACCAAATAATGTAATTCTCATTTCATTATATAGTTGATTACAACATACCAAACATATCCTAAGGTCTTGACTTTTTGCATTCAAGTTCATTAGCTTTTTCCCCTAGCTAATGATAGATCAACTCATAACTAGCCAAGCGAATTGAAAACCACCAAAAGAAATTATATTAATTATATAATTAATAATTAATAAGTAGTTGGATAAATAGAAATAAATTGTATTTCTAGATCAATTTTACGTCATAAAATTTTACCAAAATACTATCTCAATCAAAATATAAATTAGTCTTGGTAGAAATAGAAAAACTTGAATAGGACTAAGAGAAATCGATAAATGGTACTATTCTTGCTGAGATTGAGTATAAGTATTTATATTATTCGTAGTTATCTTAGGTAAGATACAATGAAATAAATGTCGAACAAGAATCTCAGGACTTAATACCAAGCGAGAATCTCGAGAATTAATTATATAATGAAGTGAATTTTTGACCGAGCGTTACTTATTTTGAATCAACTAAGTAAAACATTCTTAATAGTTTTACTACCAAGTCCCATCTATATAAATGGGTGAAAATATTATGATGTGCAAGTTATATATATATATAACCAAAATGTTGACACATAAATGGAATTTAGATTTTTTTTTAAATCAAAAGATTTATGGGTTATTAATATGGTATTTTTTTTTTTTTAGCATTAATTCATTTTGAAATTAAATATGACGCATTTCAATTTAAGCCTGAAAGCATCAAGCACCTACTTATATATCCGTCTCTCTTAGTTCTATTCACTAAAACCTAAGAACATCACATTAACAATAAAAATATGGAGCCTAAACCAGCCAAAAAAACAATGATACTTACCATTTTCACCTTCCTTTCTTTGCCATCTTTAATGGCTACTTCACCTTCTTCAAATAATATTACTGCAATTTTCGGATTCGGAGATTCAACAATCGATACAGGCAATAACAACTATCTTCATACTACTAATCGTGCCAATTTCCCACCATATGGTAGAAATTTTCCTTTCCATATACCCACCGGGCGGTTCTCTAATGGAAAATTACCAATTGATTTTATAATATCTTCATTACGCCTCAAAGATACCTTACAAGCTTATTTTAAAGTGATTGCAGATAATGAGCTACTAACCGGAGTTAGTTTCGGGTCGGCCGGCTCCGGACTAGATCCTTTAACGGCACAAAATGCTAAAGCACTCAATTTGTCAATTCAATTGGATTTATTTGATCAAGCATTGGAACGGATAGAAAGATTGGTTGGTCAAGCAAGGGCTAAATTTATAGTGACAAATGCTTTATTTTTCTTTAGCGCAGGTACTAATGATGTGGTGTATAACATCTTGTTGTGCGGTGCCCACTCAATGGGACCCACTTTTGAAACAAAAAAAGAAAATGTGGTAGGACCCACACGTAGTTGAAAATGGAAATAAGGAAATAAGAATTTTCTTCTTGGTAGGTGATCCGTTTTTCGGTGGACGCCGGTGGACGCGTAATTAACGCGTCCACCTCTCCTAATCCCGCGTCCATCCCTCCTATAAATAGGAGATTGCACAACGCTTCATAAAACACAGACCAAAAGAGTGAAGAGAGTTTTTTTTTGAGAGAATTTGAGTTTTAGAATTGGGTTCTAAAACTCGGGTCGAGAGAATAGTGAGGATAATTTGGAAAACACGGTGTGAGTGCCACTATTTTGTATTACTCTCTTTGTAAGCCTACTATTTTTAATAGTGGAAGAATTATTCAGTTTTTATCCCGTGGACGTAGCCCTAACAGTTAAAGGGTGAACCACGTAAATATCTGTGTCATATTTTTATTTTTCCGCTGTGTTATTTTTCTCGTAATCTTATTGCCGGACCCAACAAGTGGTATCAGAAGCCGAAGTTTACCGGATCGGGGATATATCTTTAAAAATAATATACCACGACGACGAGAAAATTACGCCAGTCCATTAAGTGCAGTCCAGTTCGAAAAGACGTTTGCAGGGAATCGACTTAGTGTCGATGAATAGTAAAATAGTAACTCAAAGTTGGATGGTGAATAGTAAAATAGTAACTCAAAGTTGATAGTGAACAGTATTATTGGCGTTACTGTTGCTGAGTCCGTTTCAAGTAAGCCCAGCACTATTCACGCATAGTATTATTCACGAATACAGATACTGTTTACGTATATTGTTACGATTCAGGCATACGGTCACTATTCACGTATACTACTATTCACGTATACGGTTTTTGTTGGTGATAATATTCTGCACAAGTTAAAAATGGACGACAGAATAACAGGCACAATGGTTAGACTCAACTCATCAAACTATGCAGTATGGAAGATATTAATGGAAGATCTTCTATGCTGTAAAGATCTAATGCTGTAAGAGATCTGTTTGAAAACGATTGAGTTGAAGGGGGTCAGGCCAGCTCTTCAATAAATGAAAGCGATTGGAAGTCAATTAACAGAAAAGCAGTCGCAACTATTAGGCAGTCTGTTGAAATGAGCGTCATAAATCATATCACTCATGAGAAAGATGCCTATTCAATTTGGAAGAAGTTGGAGGACATGTACGAGCGGAAAAATGCCCAGAACAAAGCCTTTTTAATTAAAAAGCTTGTAAATCTAAAGTACAAAGATGGCGAAAGTGCTTCAGATCACTTAGGCAAATTTCAAGAAATAGTGAACCAACTGACGACGTCAAGGATAGTGTTTGACGACCAGGTGCAGGCACTGCAGGCACTATTCTTATTGATTCTTGCCAGACAGTTGGGAGACACTGACTGTTACGCTCAGTAATGTGTCGGAGGGGAATCTGACCTAACCACAAAGTCAAGGAAAGCAATTCTGAATGAAGAAACCAAGACGTAAGGAAATGAAGAAACCAGACGTAAGGAGAATGGTACGAGTAGCAACTCAGATGCACTTGTTACAGTTACAGAAAGGAGGGGGAGAAGCAAAACCAGATACCCCCAAAATTCAAACAAATGTGACAATTCGCAAAGAAGATCCAAGTCAAGAAAAGGTGTCACTTGCTATCATTGTGGCAAGCCCGATCACATACAAAGGCACTGCAGAAAGTGGAAGAAGGAACGAGCCAAAGAAAATGATGAGGAAAAGAAAGACGATACGGAGGTAGCTTCAGTAGCTATTGATGTTGACGCAATTGGTGATGGTGGTGTGCTGATTTCTCATGCTGGTCTCAGTGAGTGTTCCACAAGTCAACAATATCTTTGGATTATTGACTCTGCTTGTTCATATCATATTTCTTCAAAGAAGGAATATTTTTCATCACTTAC